GCCAGTGGTGTGAGGTTTAACACCGAATTTATAATTTCAGTAATAATTAACCAATATTAGTAATATACATCACCCTTTAAAATTTCCCAAAATTAGAGCTCATTTTATGTGTGTTGTTGTCATGCTAACCACAGGTTAATCTGTATTTTGATCTATTTTGTCTTTCATTCCACAAGACAACCAAACATTACAATCATAGAATTCAAAATACATTTTCATAAAAGTGAGAAAATTTAATCGACTATAGTTAATGAAAAGTTAATTAAAATACATTTCTACTGTCTGCCATTCTCAATATCTAAAATATTGGTCACTTTATAATAATAGATATTACCATTGTTCATGTGATAATATGATATTGTCACTTTATAACAATAGATATCACCATTGTTCATGTGATAATGTATTGTCACTTTATAACAATAGATATCACCATTGTTCATGTGATAATATATTGTCACTTTATAACAATAGATATCACCATTGTTCATGTGATAATGTATTGTCACTTTATAACAATAGATATCACCATTGTTCATGTGATAATCCACCAATAGTATCAATAGCACTTTGTATTGCTATTGGTTCCACAAACATTCTATCAGTGTCTGTGTGTCTATATTGTTGATAATTGATATCACATGATTGTATTAAGACAGGGTGATTGGTTGGTTGTGATAATGGAACCATAGCATGGCTTGTTACATTCTGCATTGGATCAATCACCATAGTTGATTTAGATGTAACCTTTTCTTTTTTCTGCAAACCTTCAATATCTTTACGATGGATTTTCATGTGTGTTTTCAAATTATCAGAACGATTTACTTTCTTTCCACAAACTGAACATTCATAATTTTTCTCCCCAGAATGAATTGTCATGTGACGTTTAAGATGGCCACTTTTAAAAAATGTTCCCCCGCATAATTTGCATTTGTATCGTTTGTCTCCAGTATGATGTCGTTTGTGATCAGCAAGTTGTTGGTTTTTACTAAACCGTTTACCACATATTTCACATTGGTATGGTTTTTCACCAGTATGTCTTCTAATATGAGCCCTTAAATCATCAGCTCGTACAAATGCAAACTCACATTGTGTACATTTATATGGTTTCTCACCTGTATGTATAAACTTATGAGATCTTAGACTTGATAACTGACTAAACGTCTTACCACATTCATCACATTGATATGGTTTCTCACCTGTATGACATCTCAAATGTACAACTAAGTTGGATTTCTGTGGAAATGATTTGCCACATGTCTCACATGAATATAATTTTTCTCGATGTGACATACGCTGATGAGCTTTTAAAGATGTGGTATGGGCAAATCTTTTTTCACATTTATCACACTGTAACAGTTTTTGTTCATTTGTCAAATGTTTTTCATTATGTGTTGTGAGATGGGAAGCAGAGGAAAATGTTTTACTGCACGTATCACATTTAAAAGGTCTCTCTTTTTTATGAACGGCGCGGACATGTTGTAACAAATTTGGGTAACCAGCTAAAAGTTTACCACATTCCTGACAACTTAATTTCTCTTTTATATGTATTTTTCGGTGATGTTTCAAATCAATTATTTTTAAGAACACCACCTGACATATATTACACTGTAATGAAGCATTTAAATTTTGCTTTGACTTTATTGGCTCATAATCTTTATCCTCATTGTTGCCATGACTCCCATCATCATCTTTCATATCCTCCTCAGAGGTTTCCTCTCTAAGTATAGACTGCGTCATTTGAACTGCCTTTTTTGTTTTTGTTTTACTTCCCGATGGTCTTCCACGTTTTCTTAAGGCAGTAATTGCTGCTTTTTTGGGGGCAATTTGTTTTCTGCGACTGCTGCGGGTTGCCATGCCTACTAGCGTTTTTTTAGATGAAAATTCTTTAGGAATTGTTATCATTATTGTCTGTGTCTCCTTTTCTTTAGATTCAACACTGATAGGGTCTGTTGACCCAAATGAAACACTGGTAGTTGATTGGTTGTCGTCAGTCTGTGTGCTTTCATTATGTGTCTTCTTTACACCTGAATAAAACACAAAGACAGAAATAAATGGACATGTACAAGACTATACATAACAAACCATTGAGAATGTCACAGCTTCCTCTAATCTTGTATATAAATAATAAAATATCAGCCTTTATACATTTTGTATACATGTACTAGTTCCATCACCATGAACAAAATGACTTGTATTGCATGATAACTGAATATGTTTGAGTTTCTAACTTTTATGTCTTGAAAAATGTAATAAATTATGAGTGCTTCCAGATAGTCTAATGGTTCATCAGTCACTACCAAATTACATTGT